GTGAGATAACCCGACCACCCAGTACTGCGCCGCGTGGCGTGTAGCTCTGCATAGACACGATCCTGCTCGCCACCTTGGATTGGGGTGTAGTTCTCTTTGCTGGCTGCCCTGCATTTTCAAAACAGAAGCATAAGGCGGGAAGCCACTAAGCTCGTCTTCACTGGACGACGACGAGCTGTCGCTGCCTTGGAAAAAGGGGAATCACCTACATGCCTTGCCAAACTGAATTGACTGGCTGTGCATTCCCAGCGGCTTGCCAAAAGGGGCGCCACCTCTCACAGAATTTGCGGAGCTTGTTCGGGCTTGCGCGCTTGTCACTCATAAGGCGTCCTCTGTACGGGGCTGAGCCCGCTGTGACTGGAAAGCCTTCATTTTGTGCTGATGCCCCTTCTGTGGACACACACCACTTTGCTCGCGCGTGCCTCAAGTCGCTGGCCCAAAGAAGCCATTGTGGCTGGTGCCTTATGCGGTGCCTGAGAATGAGAACAAACACTAAGAACACTCTCTGCTACCTGGAATGGTCTGGGAGACGAATTCGCCGGCCTTCACCCACCCGACTGGTAGGGGTACCTTGAATAAGCTGAGAATGACAAGCCAAGCCGCACCACTTGTCTGAGCCCACAACACTCGCAGCGCTGGATGCGTTGGGTTCTGCAGCCAGGCCCTGCGGCGCCTAGCATTCAAGATCCACCAACGAACAGATTCCGATCCCCTGGGACAACTCAGCTCTCGGTACACACACTGACGAACTTGCATCAGCTGCCGCACATGCAAATATTGCCAGACCTTTTGTGGCGTCTTGGGCTTGGTCATCTTCGAGGCCGCTCGCTTATCCAACTTCTCCTGCCGCTATTCACATCTGGCAACTGTCCTGTCGTCAATGCAAAAAGGCTCTCCGGCGTGATGGAGCTGACTGTTCCCACGTCCTGGCATCTGGGTAGCATGGCTAAAACATCTAGATCATCTAGCCTGTAGGCCAACACGGAACACAACAGGATGCAACAGGCAAACAAAAAGGGCCTTTGGGGTCGCTCTCCCGCTGCGGCGACCGCGGCGCCTCTTTGACTTCACCTGGGCGTATAAACTTTTGCTTCAGGCAGAGGCCACTAGCAGGTCGGAGCTGCAAACGGCTTTGCTCAATGCAGCGCCTTCTACAAAATAAGGATGGTCTGCAGGCATCTAAGCTTGGAGTGAAGGTGGTTTATGAAACGAGTCTTGTGGTTTTGGGTCCCGAGGGCCAGCCGGTGGAATGGAGAGGGTTCCGTGGAAGAATTGACCTCAATGACTCACTGGTTGACAAGCCACCATTTACAATACACTCTCAAGCACCGACAGACCGAAAGCCTATAACTTAGGTGGACCCCCCACCCAGTAATAGTGACTATAGGGGATACTAGGGATTATATTACGGTCCTCTTATATTCCTATTATACCACTATTACAGGGTGGGGGGGTCCTCCTGACCTATAACGCCA